GTTACAATACACCTAGGTTGTAACAAACTTGTTACATCCACCTGTAAAAGTACATGTTTGAGCATTGATATTAACGATCAACACCGTTCATTATGATCTATGCATTCAAATCTTCACGGGGATAAAAAATATCACATAGATTGGATATTTATGTTACAATACACCTAGGTTGTAACAAACTTGTTACATCCACCTGTAAAAGTACATGTTTGAGCATTGATATTAACGATCAACACCGTTCATTATGATCTATGCATTCAAATCTTCACGGGGATAAAAAATATCACATAGATTGGATATTTATAGTTTATACATCTAGTGGCCTAGAAATGAATGGTCTGTAACGATCTAAAATCTCTGCTATTTTTAGCTGCTTGGATTATATGATAGAATATCCCAAGACACGTGATATTTGATGCACACTCATTTGATGACATGTAGATCATAATGAAAGATGTTGATCATTAATATCGACGCTCAAATATGTGCTTTTACATGTGGGTGTAACTAGGTTTGTTACACCCTAGGTGTATTGTAACTCAAGCCATACACACGCACAATTTTATTTGGACATATGCAAATTTATGAATTTCCACTTGGAACTAGAGCGTTACCACATGTTTTGCTAGAACTTATTTTTCTAAAATCTTATTAGTTATTTTTTACTTATTTTTTCTCTTATTTTGTTAAGAGGCAATACAATCTTTTAGCATCAATAAGTAAACGTACTTATACGAACCCCAACAAATAACTTATTTCCCCCCCTACTTATGACAAAAAAAAAAAGAAAAAGAAAATATATAAATGACATTTACCAAACATAATCTTTGATATTTATAAGAAAAAAACTCACTTATACGTTAAAATAAAGTCATTTGCCAAATATGCTCTTCATGAGCATGAGGGGGTGACACGAGCAAAGTCTCTATCTGTTAAAACAACTTGCTAAAAGTCTCCAGCTTTTAATTCAAAGACACACATGGAAAATGGCATGGACGTATTAACAACTTTCACATAGTCTAGGGTTGTTTTCTGAAAAGACCCCTTTAAATTATTGCGAATTAAATAAAAAACCGAAGGAAAGCGAAGGAAAAAGGGGAGGGCGGAGAGAGAGAAGCGAGGCTGCGCTCTGGACCGGAGCTGGCTCTTCAGAATTCAGAAAGCGAGGTTTCTTGAGAGAGAAAGCGAGAGAGAGAGAGAGAGAGAGAAGCTGTGACGCTTGAGAGGACCTCGATCTAGGGTTTCTCCCTCCCGTCACCGATCGATTCGGGTAATCCCCGCGCACATTCACTGAGGATTTTTCACGAATTTATCGTCGTTTTCGTCCGTGTAATTGTTTGTTTCTTCGTCCTTCTCCTCATCTCTTTGTCGAATATTGTAGATCTTTGCACGCTGATGCTTTCTCTCGCTTTGTCCTTTCGCCCTCTCCCGCTTTATTGAGATAGCGAAGAAAGATTCAAGGTAGGTTTCCGTTTTTCAAAATTCTAGTTTGATTCCAACTTTCTTTCTACTTTTCGAAAAATCCCGGCACAGTTTGGAGCGAATTGTTTGGGGGTTTGTTGTTGCCCTGCTGGGAATTAGGGTTTGGGTATGTTCCCTTGTGAAATCGTATTGAATTTCTCGATTATCTCTGGTTTTCATGTGGGGGGTGGAAACGTGATTTTTTAGGGGTTAGCGTGTTTTTACTTTCACAATTTTCATGAGTTTGTTAAAAATGATTAAGTAGCTTTTTTTTTTGTTTTTCTTTGTTTTTTGTTCTGGTTTCATTGCTTGTTGTGAAGTTGCCTTCTAGGGATCCCATTATAGTATTCCCCTTTTCCATCTAAATCATTGTTTATTGTTCTTAACGAAGAATTGCAACAAATCATTATAATTTACAAGGAATTATAGAGCATAAATGACTGCTCCATATTTTTTTTATTTCCAAAGTCGAGAATATGAAGATGCTCGGATTATAATGAGATTTAATTTTGATGGATTTGCAAAGTTGAAGTATGGATGACTATTCGTATGTTGCTAGGCTAAGCAATAATTAATTGAGACTAGGAGTTTAATATGCATATCCCTAGGGGATAAGTTGAAGCTATCTGTTGAATGTCTGTAGCTGGGTTGATTGGTACTTTCCATGGACATTTGTTGTATTGAAGTTTTGTTGCCTATGCAAGTAAAAATGAGCGGGCTTCTTCTCTCTAGCAAATGTAAACTGGGTTTTTATTTCCTTAAGCTGTGTTTGGTTGGAAACAAAGTGACTAAAACTGGAAGTGGAACGGAAATGAAAAACATATGCCTTGTTTGGATGGGGTTAATGGCGGGTAAAGGAAGGTAAATAAGCTTATCTTAGTTTGGAGTTCCTTCAAGAGAGGTGACATAGTTTACATCTGTTGACCTCCATTCTATGTAATTTGATTCACCCCAAGTTGTGGTGTGATTCACCTCAAATTGTGGTGAAAAGGAAGTACAAGACTTTGGGCTATCATGATACAAATCCAACGGCTAAGAAATGATTGCCCTTCATTCTTTTTACTGAACTCCCAAACATGATTATTATATTTCCCTACTTCTTACTTTCCTCTCCTTTGCCTTATTTCCCCTTCCCTTTTTTCCCTTCCCTTCCATTAGTGACCTCCCAAACATAGCAATTCAGAAAAGAAAGGAATATGATACATTCTTTTGGGACATAGGAAATTGGAGAGAAAATTAAAGAGAAAATGAAAAATCATCGTGAAACTTAAACTTGTGCTAGAAAAACTATAAGTAACAGATTTCATGACAAAGTTTGTACTAAGTGTATCTACTTTTTCGTTCTATTTTGTATGTAGTATATTTTGTCATTCCTTGTTATTTATGTAATTACCTTTCTTTCACACGCATCCACATTCTGAACAATAAAGCATGAAACAAGTAGTGTGTGCTGCTAATTTCTTATGGTCAGCATGCATACTTGACAATCTGAGAGGTGACTATATGAGATCAACCAATCTTTGAACTAGGAAACTTATGTCTTTTCACAGAGCTGCTGTTGTTTCACTGACTGGGTGCTATTTCAGCTATTCTTGGTTGTCTCTGCGATAAGATTCTACTGTCCTTAGGAGAAATGCAGATTCTGTGAGATTGTTAGAGAATTTAACGGAGCCAAATTGTGTTACATAATAGATTTCGTTGACCTTAAAAAACTATTTTTTTCTCAATAATACATCAGATGCAATTGGATGCACATACATATAAGCAGAAAGAAGTTTTAAACACAAGAATTAGTTCTTTGAAGGAAGGAATTGCATGATAACTTAATTTTAATGGTGATGTAATCAGGATCATAAATCTGCTCTTATTGCTATTGTTTTTTTAACTCTGACCATCTTGCTTTTCTTGTTTCTTCTTCTTCTTCTCTTCTTTCTTTTACTTCTATTCTGGATTCATCCCCTCTCATTCTTGCTTGTCAAAATTTATGATTACCATAAGACACCTAGAACACACCATGTTTCATGGGGGTATGATGAGTCAGGAAGCTTAGGTCTGAGCTGATGACATCTATTTTAGTCTTTGGAGATTCTAAAGTACTATGTTCGACAGTTTGAGTAAATTGAGTATAGTTGGTACCCAATGAATGTGGCGCATTGAGCTGATTTTTTGTGTGATAGCTTGTTTGTTAATTGGTGCAACCTCTTGATGTCAATACAGAAAGATAACAATTCATGCTTACATTGGTTTTCACATGTTTTTTTATGGACATTGCATCTAATCATATGTAACAATCAAATAAATTAGATAAAAACTTTGCATGAAAGGTATGAACAAAATTTGACACTAGGCTACATTTGGTGAGTTTAAACTGCTATCTAGGCTTGGATAAAGCTCAACATCTTTTATTTGCATGTTTATTTTGTCAACAAAAAGAAAGAGAAAATAAAAGCAAAGTCCTTGAAATCTTGAATGTTTTGTGTGCATGCATCACTAATTACGTATGTGTGCCTGCATGCATGCATGAAGTAAGCACAATCAAATGCATCCATGTATCAGTTTTACTCTAATTCTTATTAATAGCGTTATTATTACCAAATATAGTCTGAGAAGAGAGTGGTCGTGGGAGGCTAGATTATTCTTGTATAAACTAGTTGCACTACCGAAGTTGTAATCTTTGAGAACATATTAACAAATCCAGAAAATTGCCAAAGCAAATATTGAAAACCAATACAAGAAAACTAACATATGGATGGTCATAGTGGCTTAGCCAACATTTATCTATGGCCTTTTCTTTATGTTCTTCTTCTTCATATCACTGTTTTGAACCTCCTTACTGGTTGAGACTGAGATGCTAGAATTTTTAGATCTGTTGGCAAGAGTTTGTTAAAGCACTAGCCTGTTTTCAGCAGATATACACTCTTGCATTTCGCACAATAGAAAAGATTTCTCCTGGACGATTGAATATAAAGGTAGTTGCCTCTGTACGTCTTTAAACAGTGAGCAAGTGGAAGCTCTGGTCTCATGGAATTATGGTATGCTAGCAGGACACACACTAATTGGTTACTCGACTTCATTAACTACTTCCAAGAGTCATCGGTTAAGACTGCTTGTGCCATACGCCCAAAAAATTAGGGTTTAACAAACCAAATCTAAGTAGTAGGATTGACAGATTGGACTTCTTTTCCTTGATTTTGAAGATAATTAGTCTAATTTTGTGCTTGACTACCCCAATTGGGCACCAATGCGATGATCTGTTAGTCTCTAGACTCTCTACCTTGATTACTGTCACTATATCACTATTGATTCTGTCAATCTCCCTTTTCTCTGTCTGTGTTTTCCCTACTTAAGAGTCTATATTAGTTTCAGGGAACCAGGTTGGATATCCATAGAACAATGTGACTCAAGTGTTAATTAATTCGGCCTGATTTAACAAAAATGTTTTACAATAAATTCAATCAATACCGATTTTATAGTCCTTCAAAAAGGGCATATAAAAATGTAGGGGCTTTCGTTCTTTTTTCCTTCTTGGGATCAGCATATGGACAATCCTTATAAATACTTTAGTAGTCCTTGATGTGCTTCAAGTCTTAAATAGGGCATCATGCTCCTTAGAAATTTGATTTTATTTATTTGCATATATAAACTCAACATGATCCAATAATTAAATAGTTGCAAGTCTCATAGCTTGTTCCATGATCAGGATTCAGATTTAATCTATGAGTCGAACTTTCTTGTTGCCTGCATACTTTATATTATGGAGTTTGTACAGGAAGATTAAAAGACACATTATGATGCTAGCAGGTTAAGAAGATGCCAGTTCCCAGAACTATGTTCATATATGTGTCATATCCTAGCATCTTTTATTTTCTTCGTATCTCATTACTGGAAATTATTTTAAGATCCAGTCATTCAACTTTTCCATTTCAACATAATTGTCTTACTTTCTGATGCTCGAGTGTGTTTGACCTGTCTGGAAGCACCTTGTTATATATTAATGCTGTTCTCGATAAGTGGAAAACAGTTGGAAGTGTTTTCTCATCATTATGCATGTCAGAACAACATATAAGAACAGTTCACAGTACAAATATTTCACAATTCACATTATAACTTTTAGCTCCAAATTTTATATTGCTAAGATTAATCTTTTACCTAATTAAGTGGAGAACAACTACTCATATTTTGAGGGTATTTATACTTCTAGAAGCCCATAGTCATGAAATTAATCAGTTGGTACAAACTAATATCTGTAGTTAGAAGATAAATTTTTGCTGTATTAAGTTGGGGTGACAGTGGTGAGAAGCACAGACACATACTATGTTTATTAAATTTCCATCAACATTTCTGTTCATTGAGATCACCAAAATTTTAGCCGAAAAATGTTATTGTTGATAAGTAATAACCATGTGGTTAAGCTCGACTCTATTATATTTTGATGGCTCACATGGAGTTCTATTGTGGGTTTTATTTTCTTTAAACATTTCATCAACTTTTACTTATCCATGAGATTTTATTATTATTTCCAAAATGTTTATGTTTCTGATATTGCCAACTGATAAGCTAATGTTTTATACTGCAGATGAGTGGCCACATGTAATTGGTATCATTGTTACCTACCTCGGTCATTCAGATATGCATGCAGAGCATGTTACAAATATGAGATGATTCTATTCTGTTACACAATATGACTCTTGAAGATTTCTTTACTCTTACTGAGATGAAGAATGGCTTTGTATCACTTGCTAGAGTTGAAGAGCTGATCTCTATTATGAAACAGCAGAAGGATTGTGTTGTGAGTAATATCAGCGACACAGCAAGACAATGGTCAAGTGTCGCTAGCACATTAGCAGCTACAGAAAACAAAGATTGTCTTAGCCATTTTGTTAAGTTAAACGGGCTGTGTTATCTAAATCAGTGGCTTCAGGAAGCTATAAAATGTAATAACGGTTGTGCAGAGATTGCTGTTGAAGAATTGTTAAATTCATTATTAGGATCACTGGAGAGGCTTCCAGTACACACAAAAGATTCAGTTGCTTCTGGAATTCAAATAACTGTTGAAAAATTGGTTGGATCGAATAGCCTCAACATCAAGGAGAAGGCAAGAGCCTTGTCGGAAAGGTGGAAACATGCAGTGGAAAATGATGTTAGTTACCAAGATATAAATAAAGATGAAAAATGTGAAGATGAGAACCCCAAATGTCCTAGTGACACTGGCACAATTGATGCTGTGAACTCGAGGCCTCCAGTTTTTGAGAATCCTACAAGTAGAGAAGGGCTGGAAGAAAATAGTTGTAAAGAGGACTCTGCAGGGACTGGAAACCACTCCCACAATTCAAATGTGGCTGGGAGCGCGGAGGCTTCCCAACAAGATAATACTGCTGGGGTACAAACTTCAAAAGAAAATCAGACTACCGCCACCTTAAACTCAGTAGTCACAAATTCCAATTTAAAAGATATGGATGTGTTGCCTTCAGTTCTTGTTCCAAATTCTTGTCAGGAGAGTATGTCTGGAACAGAGGGTTCTTCAATCTGTCCTGCAGCTGAGATTGCCTCTGGCACCACATCCTGTTCAAATGTTTCGGGAGATATTGCTGACGACCATTGTGATGCTTCTGAGTTTAAAGATGACAGTGTGAAAGACACAGAGATGGAGGTGGATACAGACGGAGGTAGCCCATCTAAGTCTGATCAAATGGAAAGCTGTAAGGCTAACCCGTCTTCTTGCTTATCTGTTTCTTCACATGCACATAAATCTGGGCGCTCTGTATCTTGTAGTTTTGATGCCACAGAGATTAAGTCAAAAACATTAGAGAATACAGAGGCTCTGCCAAGGTCTGCAAGTATCGATTGTGACGTACCAAAGTATTTGAGAAATATGGAACTCAAATCTGATATGCAAGGTCTGTTGAGTAATAGGCCTAAGCTAAGAGTAAATGATGATCCAGAGACCTCTCCAGGCAGAACGGAAGAAGCTTTAAGTGTACGTGAAGTCAAAAGGTTTGGTAGTGATTCCAAACTGGAAGTTAGCAGGGTAGCTACTGTTGGTCCGCAAGATTCTTCAAAACCAGCAGACAAGAAGTCAATTACCGGGATGGATGATACATCAGAGCTGGGACTTGAATATGGAGAGATTGATGCACTGGAAGTTGCAAGGCAAGTTGCGATTGAAGTTGAACGTGAAGTTGTTGATTACAGAGAACCATTCTGCAGCTCTTCACCAGATGGCAATTCAGAAGAGGACACACGTCCCCAGTTTTCTGTTGGCCAGCAGGATCAACCTGTAAATGAAGAAAAGAATGGGAGAGGTTCACCTCCTGGTGAAGATCTTGACGATGTCTCATCACCAAAGGCTGACAATCAAAGAATTGCAGAAGCAGATGTAGGTCCTGATAAATGTGAAGAGGATGTAGAAGTGTCAGAACAAATAACTCATAAAACAGTCGATAAGACTGAGCAGAATAGATGCGTCTTTGATCTGAATGAAGATCTGAGTGAAGATGTTTGTGTTGAGGAATCTGATCGCCTGCATAACTCTACTCCTAATAACTCCATCAATGCAACTACACCAATAGTTGTCTCTGCATCAAAAGGAGCTCCAGTTTTGCCAGTTAGCCCTCTCCGCTTTGAAGGTGAACTTGGTTGGAAGGGATCTGCGGCCACAAGTGCTTTCCGTCCTGCATCTCCTAGGAGAACTCCAGATGTTGAAAAGACATCTTCTGGTCATAAACGGAAAGCAAACTTGATTGAGATCGACTTGAACGTGGCAGAGAGTGGAGATGATGTAGTTGATCCATTCTTAATTAAACCCACACTTGTTTCCTCTGGTATTCTTTCTCGGGAAGATTCTGTCGAAGTCAGTTCAAGAAGAGAGGACAGATTCAAGTTGGACCTTAACCGCCACAGTGATGAGGATGTGTCGCTGTTCCCTTCATCTTACTGGAGTCTTCCGCACCAAAATGGGGATCGGACCATGTCACCTGCTTCATCATCATCTTCGAGACAACCTACAACGAGAGACTTCGACTTGAATGATAATCCTAACTTTTTCGACGCTATGGGATCTCGTAACCTCAGCAGGTTTTCATCAAAGAACCCAGCAATGCGTTCCAGCTCCAAACCTGACAATCCTGGCATCACTATAATGGGTTCCAAAATTACAGAAACAAAGAACTATCTGGATGAAACTCCTCTCTCTCTTATGGGGAATGGACCTAGTGTTGATGCTACTGCTACAGCGTTGAGGCCTATGATGCCATATAGTCATATTCCGCATCCTGCTTATGGGTATAATGGGGGGCCTGTGATGGGGCCTCCAATGCCTTTCCCATCACCATTTTATGCACCTGGGAGCATCCCTTACATGGTAGATTCTCGAGGCGCAACTGTTGTACCTCAGATTCTCACTACGCCAGGATTAAACTCGGCAGCTTCGGCTATGCCACCTTTTCTTATGAGCGTGCCAAACACATCGCCTGGTTTGAATGGGGCAGGGTCGTCCAAGTCTGGATTGGACTTGAATTCTGGTTTTATGCCCCTGGAGACTGGAAGCAGGGAAAGTGGGAATTTTAAGAACTTTTTCATGCAAGGCCACAATGGTTTAATGGAGGACCAGGCGAGGGATGGATCACAGTTTGCAGGTGCGCCGGTGAATCTGAAGGAATCGGATCCAGGATGGGAGCCATTTACTCTTGGGTACAAGCACGTCACTTCGTGGCAGTAGTTTCATGCACCACAAAAGATTTTGTCTCCGTATAATTCATCCATGATATTTACTTTCTCAGTCTCCTTCAGTTCAGTCTACGAGAGATGCCTTCGGTGATCCCAATGGATTATTATTTTACATGATAAATTGGCCATCTTAAAGCAAAAGGATGGGATGATGTAACCGTGTTGGAATTGACTCCAGGGATAAAAGGTGAATAATGCTAGTAATAGGTGGTTGATTATAGTGATTGATTGCAAAAGAAAATAGAGATTGTAGGCATGATTTATTGTTATTACAATGCTTTTGTTCTCCTTGTTTAATATTATAGGCGGTTGAAATGGGATTACGTACCTGTACATTTCTCGTGAACATCCTAACACAGTGAAACGGTTGGAACCCTTTCTTTCTTCTGCCCATCTGTTTGTGAAGATCTGATTAATATATTTAGGGTTTACTGGTAATGAGTTGTTGCCTCATGTCCCTTTCTTTCCATATTCATATCGTCGACGTGGAACATTTACAGTATTTGTTTCGGTTATCTGCAGTTAAGTTTGCATGGTGTATGAGCTCTTTTACAGCTGCTTGATAATTCTTTTGCTGCTCTGTTATCTGTTATATGCAAAACTGCAGGTGATGAGTGTGTTTTGCTTGTTGCCCTTAAATTTGTGTCTGGGCATGGTTGTTTGCTTTACACAGTGCATGGAGCAATCTTCCTTAGCCCTTCAAACCTTTTTAAAGGAGTGATGATATATTATCTTCTTGGACAAAATTTTGTTTTAGACTCATTTAGAAATTTAATTTCAAAAATCGACCCTTTTCAAATGTAATTACAAATTTTGACCTAGTTTTAGCCACCTAGCTGAAACTGAGTCGAATTTTGTAATTAAAGTTAAAAAACTTCACGGGATTTAAAATCCCGGGAAGTTTTAACCATTGATTAACAAGCTCATTAAGCGGGCCAAATCTTCACGGGATTTCAAACACGGGATTTCAAATCCCGTGAAGTTGCAGGCCAAATTCCAGAGAGCGGTGCTCTCTGGTGAGGTGGCCTGCAACTCCACGGGATTTGAAATCCCGTGGAGTTGAGGCAGTGCCTATATAAGGCCCACGCGATAACAAATCACGTTTACCTGACCCCTTCTCTCTTTGCTCCTTCACCACCAAACCCTAGACCTTTATATTACCGCCCCCTCTGTCGCCGCCGCCGCCGTCCCGCCGTCGTATTGTCCACCGACCATCGTCGATCCCGTCGCTGCCGGCACCGTCGGAGTTCACTGGAAATTAGGGCGTCGACAAATTTTAGGTAAAATCTTAATTTTTTTTTTAATTTTTCTCCTAATTTTTTTACATATTCTCACTATTTCATGCTAATAACTTGATTAAATTTAGATTTTAAAATAAAATTTGAAATATTTATGAATTTTGTGAAGAAAAATTAAAGAAATTTGTGTATGAAGTTAGAGGGGAAATTATTAAAAATTATAAAAGTTAGTGTATTATAAAGGTTTGACATTTGATTAAAATTATGGACGTCTAAAATCGATATTTAGAGGATTTAATAGTAAATAATATTTTTTGTGTTTTTCGTGTAATATTGATATTTGAAATTTTTTACTTTTCAAAGGTAACGATGAACGGTCGAATCGTAATTTTTTGTTCATATGATGGAAATATTAACTATCTCGAGAATAATATGTCCGTATATGAAGGAAGTGTGACGAAGCCGTTGTTTATATCAAAATCATGTACTTCCGATGAATTTGTTAATAACTTATACAAACTTACATTAACCAATCTACTTGAGTATCACCTCAACGTTATTTATAATTTTCCTGTTACGGGGAACGGAACAATCGACATTCAAATCTCAAGCCACTATGATATGAGTCTTATTGGAATATTGCATGACGAGAAGCGTCCTGTGGAATTATTTATTGAAAAACATCACAAAAATTTGGTCAAATCGGTGAATCATGACGGAGTATACTCTCGCATGTTAGAGGACATTGAAGTTGACTTCGTCGACTTTTTATCTCCGCAACAAGATATAGGATGGACACAGTCATAATACTTGAGCGGTCCTTCGCTTGTGGGCACTTCAAATGCCTTCGATGATAGCACTCCCCATCAAGATATAATGCCTTCCACACGAGTGACAATAGAGGATGATAATGCAAGTGTCGAATCCGAGGATGATGACGAAGTGCATGACTTACAAATCAATAGCATGACGTGTTTGGTAGATCGTGATGAAGGGGACAACCAATATATTGACCGATGTTACTCTAACAATGAGTATGTTGTGTTAGAGGATTCGCCGCCCGATGAACTTCATGGAGAAGAATGAATTAATAACTCCACGATAGAAAGTATTCCTATCGGCACTAATTTAGATGATGATAAACAAGGTGATGACTTCTCATTCAGAAAGGACGATCTATTTGAAAGCAAGGAGAAATTGATTCATGAGCTTCGTTTGTGGGCCGTCCAAAAAAATACCAAGTTTAGGCAGACAAAAAACAATGCAACAAACTATAATATAGTTTATTTTTACCGCAAAGATGGCGAGGAAGAAGATAGTGATGGGCACCGCGACGGCAAACAAAATATCCTTGGAAGCTTAATTCACGCTTGGGGGTAAGAGTAGACAGACAATTTAAAATAACACACTACAACGGACTTCACACATGTAGCAATTCTCAATTAGAAATGAATCATAAACACACGTCCTCCTCTTTCTTATATCGATTGATTATATCTAAACTAAGGGAGGATATTGATCTAAGGCCAAAAGATATTCGTATTTTAGTGCATAAATTGACCAACTTGGATGTATCATACAATAAGTGTCGGAATGCTCGGAGGAAGGTGATGATAAAAATATTCGGAGATTAGGACAAATCTTATGAGATCTTACTATATTATCTCGAAGCACTCAAAAGAGAAAATTCGGAGACAGTCTATGAAGTATCATCAGACCCTATTGATGGCGAAGAACGACAGTTCACACGTGTATTTTGGACATTTGGGCCTTGTATTGAGGGTTTCAGATATTGTCCTCCTCTTCTTAGCATTGAGGGGAGAACTTTTGGGATGTATGTGAAATTTTACAGTATGATTATGAATTTCAAGAATGTATATGATTAGATTGTTCAAATTTGTTACTTTTGTGAATCGATTTTTGTTTATATATGTAATTTTCGTGTGTATTGTTTGATTCATGATTGAATTTTATGAATATTGTTGTAATTCAGTATATATTCGCAGATTACAGATTTTTGGTTGGATTTTGATGTATATTAGTGTGAATGAGGCGGAGATTTCGTGTGTATTATTATGAATGAGGCGAAAATTTTCATGTATATTGTTGTGAAATTTTATTTATGTATATAAAAAACATGCACCGATTCTGTGCATGTTTGGGGCAAACCCATAACTCCACGGGATTTTAAATCCCGTGGAGTTGCAGGTCACCTCTGCGAGAGTGATGGTCTCTGGAATTTAGCGTGCAACTTCACAGGATTTGAAATCCTGTGAAGTTTAAGCCTCATGAGATTTCAAATCCCGTGAAGATTTGGCCCCTTCAACGAGCTTGTTAATAAGTGGCTTAAACTTCACGGGATTTTAAAACCCCGTGAAGTTTTTCAACTTTATTTACAAATTTCGACCCAGTATTAGCCAGGTGGTTGAAACTGGATCGAAATTTGTAATTAAAGTTGAAAGGGGTCGATTATAGAAACCAAATTTGTTAATAGGTCTAAAACGAATATTTGTCCTATCTTCTTCCGACTACTATGGCGCACACAAGAAAGGAGAGGAATAGTGGAATAAAACGGCTAATAAAACGGCTAACGTATGCTCTAGAACTGAACTCTTTGATATTTGTGACCTTTCGTGCTCTCTTTATTGACCAATTCGTTCACTGTTACTATTACTCTTGCTCGTTTGGCGTGTCACTCTCTTTTCATCAATCTTTTTGAAGGTATATATAGCATATAAAAAGCTGACCTCTGATTACTAGGGATCTAAGGACATGCACGATCATCCACGTAAAGAACCGTTGTGCTTAGCATTTGAACCAACCACGCGACTAAGACCTATTTCGTACGGGCAGTAAGCGCGTAGGAGTTATTTAGTTGAGAGAGGAATTGGTTCTTAACGGAGGAGATTCTCCGTCTACGATGAGAAGTGTTCTACACTCGAGGGCATGCTTAGTCAGGGGATGAATGGTGGTGCTTAGGCGCTAGTTTCACTGCCTTCGATGATGTCAATCTTTCGCGACCCCGCGAGCAGTTCTACGCCGCGAGCCATAATAACGCTAGCCAAGTGCAGCTTCTGGCGAGATTGCTTCTCCGGTAAAAGATTCGTTCGCGGTATGTAAGTAAGGAAAAAGAGTATCCGATTTCGTTCACGGTATGTAATAAGGCGAGAAAGTATCCGGTGGATTTGTTTGTCTCCAGGAGGACTGCTTCAGATCGTGAGGTTCATTTTTGCCAATGAACACAGTGAATTTTGCCGTCTATAAACTGAGTGTACAGGACGGGATGGATGCTGAGTGGGTATTGATGGATAATTTCGAAGACTGGGTGATTTCTGTCGGGAATTCGAGCTCCAAGCTGAAAAGGTGTTCTACAACACAAGGGTGCTTGGTAACTGCATCTACTTCTGAGATGATGGCTTTGGTTTTTATTATTCGATAACAGCATCTTTGATGTTAAAAGTCAGAAGATCGATCACATTGTCAATGGTGCTTTGCACGTGTTTGGATGAGCATATTTTTAGAAGTTCACATGTTTTTGAGTTGAAAACTCAATTTGGTGGGACACCGCAAACATGAACACAAGTAAATATGGTTCTGATTTTCAAAAAAAAAATTAAAAAAATAAAAACCAATTTGGACAAAAGTTAAGATAATTTTACAGTAATAACCCCTTATATCGGAACTCCCATTTAAGGGCAGTTTTTGTATAAATTGAACTTGAAATGTGGTTTTCATATTTTCACCCCATTTAAAAGGTGATTTTAGTGGGGAATAAAATCCCCTACTATAAATGCATTGTAATTAATTACTTTTGAAATGCAAAGTTACCAAAGTCAGTAAAAACAACTAAGCTCTAACCAAAAAGGAGCAGAAACACCATTGACAATGCGATATATCTTCTGTGTTTTAACATCAAAGATACTGTTATCGAATGAAAGAACCAAAGCTATCATCTCAGAAGTAGACGTAGTTAACCAAACACCCTTATGTTGTAGAGCACCTTTTCAGCTTACGGTCGTCATGATTTTATGAGGCCAAGTTGGAGGATGCTCAGGTTTCCTTTTATTTAATTTCACTGCATCTGAAGTATGATATTTCTTTTATTGAGCGAAGCATGGAGCGCGCACTGATGATATGCTGGTCAAAAAGAACAATGTAGCTACTAAACCAAGTTCACTGCTCACGTTTCAAATAGTTGCTCCTAATAAACACCAGTGCATGAAATAAAAGGAAAAACATTACGAGAACTAATTTGAGTCCACAGATGATACAAATAGATGAAAACATCCTGTAAAATGCATGAAGCACACTCGAGTAGATGTTTAAATAACTGGATAACAAACAGTAATATTGATACATTGGTCGGTAGACAATCTCAAAGCTGCAACAAAAATTGAATTTGTTCCCATACTCTATGCCTATAGCTGAGAAAGCTGACCATCCATAAAATGAAGGTGGTGGCCGTGAAACAACACTTGCAAGCTAAAAATCTTCATGGTTAAACATAAATATCAATAACTACGTGATACCAGACATCTGAACGAAGTTTACCATTTTAAAAATATGGTGCCGACTGGTGCTTACCGCACAAGATAAGAGTAGGTTTAATTTGTCCATCCTTTTTTTATAGATAAAATTTGTCTATCAGTATTTGCCATAAGGATTTGAATAATACAATGGATCATTTTTTTCATTACCATTTCAATAATTATGCCCTAGGATTCCACATAATATAGAAGTCCTCACATAATGTATGTGCTCCAAGCACCACTTAATAAAAGGAATCCACCCCAAAAGATATAGTACAACAGTGTTGATCTAAATGCATAGGTACTAACTGGAGGTATTAGGATTAATTGTTGAATTGTCAGGTAACGTACCTTCCCCAAGTTAAAGATCCCACAACATTCTTCTACTTTCTGCGCTTATACCTGCAAATAATGACAGATAAAGAGTGAAACAAATACATCAACGTGAGTAGAATAAATGAGCATGACAGCCACATAATTACATTCAAAGTCTCACTACCTTATAGGAAACACATGTACATTCACATACAATCAACAGCAGAGGCTAAATGATAACAAGATTGAGAGCTATGGCATCTAAATTGATGCTAGTAGTCAACTAACTGTCAGACTTCTAGAACTAACAGAAAAAAGCTTTTTTCAACCATCGTATCTGATTTTTAAAAATTGCTCGGAATCTGAATAATGAATAATAAATAAATGAAAGATCCCCATATCCCACATCAGAAGGATAGCATTGAAGCATATCTTGTGTTTAGTTATAAACAATGATAGCTGTGGGAAATATATACTAGTATAAGTCAACCAAGAATAAGAACTAATTTAAATTTGTGAAAGAAATTATGCTGCTGCTTAAATTGGTTGTATATTGCGAATATGTTAGCAGCAGCAGAAAACAAAGTCCAGAACAAAAAGCATTTAAAGAAAACTAACCGATATAAGAAGAAAGCGGTCTAGTCTTTAACATAGTGAAAGAAATGACACCGCTTAAATTAGTTATATATTGCTAATATGTAATCAGCAGCAGACAACAAAGTCCAGAGCTAAAAAGCATTTAAAGAAAACAGAACACACAATACAAGAAGAAAGTGGTTTAAGTGTTAAAAATACCAAATCAAAGGTGCTCGACTATTAAGGCTAAGAGAAGGCAAATCTTGGAACCAAGAAACATAAGCTTCATTATCACTTCCCAAATATATCTGTATGCAAATGGTTAAAAAATAGAACTTTCATACACTTTTCTACGAGATTCTAATCTACAGATAAAAGTGTACAATATAGAGACACGGAAACAGTGTGCCGGACACAATCATCAAATCCCAGATATAGAAACATGTCCGTGTCTATGCACTGTGAATCGGTATAAGTATGTACTATTTGGTTGGCTAAAAAACAAGGAAATCAATTATAAGAAACCTATTTCCTATAATAAGTTCTTTTCTTATGTTTGGTTCGCTTCTTAAAACTAAGAAAAGAGATGAGATGATTTATCACCATATTATTGGATGATGTGACTCATTTCTAAGGAAATACATTTCATGACTTTTTTTGAGGAAATGGATGGAAATCAACCTTTAATGGTTTCCTCATCCTATTTCCTTTTCTTTGATTTTAGGAAATCAACCAAACAGACCCTAAATATATATAAGTACGTTAAATAATATACAACAGGTTGTTATCTTTGTTCAAAAGACCATCAGAAATTCACTAATAAAACAATTATCTTTTGCCAGAAAGGGCAATCATTTACTTGTATATTTTTCAGATAAAAAAGGTATAGCATTTATAACTGTCAGACACAGATTAGAGTTATGGAATGAACATCCGTACTATTAGTAGGGAGAAGTATCCTACATACATAGATTAAAAAAAATGAATGATTGTAAATCGGTATTGTCTGTAACAAAGAATGTGGAATTGTGATTGCCTGATTTGGGATTTTGACCCAAAAAAAAGTGACAAGTGTCACTATACCCAAACAAACAAACAAACAAAAGGAATACAAGGCAATGAAAATTAGCTTCAATAAATTTCTCTCCCATATTTTTATTCGATAATCATCATCTAACATTAGTACTGTTGAAGAAACTGCAAAGAGGAGGAAAACAGCACAAAATAGAACTAAGATGATTAAAAAATCTCAGAAAGCTAATATAATATTACCACATGTCAAGCATCCAATAATCCAAAACAATTTATAAAACATGAAAAAACAATGTCAATTAATACCTTGATTTGCTCTTGAATGAACTCTTAGACTTTTTCCTTCCAAAGGCATTACTCTTCGCCCTAGCTTGTTTTTCCTCAGTCATATCATTCTGAAAGAGATCCACCATTTCTTCCTTCCGTGTTTGACTCTTTTGAGAAGGTGGTTTACCCCGCTTGCTAGAATTTTTCAACGTTTTCCCACTTTCACGAGCCTTCATTACAGATTTCATTGATTTTGCCCGTCGATACGCCACATCAACTAGTGATTTCCCAGTGTTTTCACCCCTACCACCTCCAGTGTTCTACAGTCAACATACATCTCATTTGTTAAATTAAAAAAAAGGTAGCTGTAGGTTAGAGATACAAACCTAGGAAGAATGCTAGAACAAAACATAAGCAAAACAGAGAACCCTAAGATATTTCAAATTTGACAACTTCGATAGAGAAAATTATCAAAATTACTAGAAGGTGCGAGCATATTAAGAAGAAAGAAGGAAATACAAAGATAGGCACATACCTTTTCTCTGTCATTATCCCCTTCATCTTCTAACATCTCACGTGCCGCTTCAAGTCTTCTACGCTTCTTCCGTGGCAAATTTTTCTGCAACAAGAAAAGGGTGGCAAACAACCAAAACATTAGTGCTTACATCCGAATTTCCACGCATGAAAAGACTTCATTTATTGTGTATGAAAAGGCTACCTCACGTTCCCGTTTTCTTTTCTCCTTCAGTTTCTGTTCCTCAGCTTGCTGAGCACTAATCACCTCTTTTGATCGGCTTTGATTTTGGTCCAAGGATTCCTGTAAACAAGGGTGATAAGAAAATTAAATATTGTAAGAAACCTTAACATATTTTGAACTAATGGATAGGGAGAAAATCTAGAGATATTGGAAGTATTATACATAAAATTTGGTATACAGGAAAAGAGAGGAATAGAAATGGGATGGGAATACTTGTAGGTATACAGTGAAATGTCGTAGATGTGAAAGAAATGGAAATTTAATAACGCAAATAAAGAATATTAGGCGAAGATAATAAATATCATTAGTGCTTATGGACTACAGGTAGGACTGCTAAATATTGAAAAGGAATTTTGCAAAAACTTGAATGACTTGGTGAGCAGATCTTAATGGGCATGTCGGCAGAGATAATAATGAATATGAGAGGATGCATGGAGGTTATAGTATGGAAGGGGGATATAAGATTTAAGATTATGCAATGTCGTATGATTTTTAATAGCAACTACATATTAAAAAAAAGATACGCACTTGATAACTTTTAAATGTGGATTAAGCAGTTGTCAAATAGACTTTTTACTTGCAAGAAGGATAGATATGTATTACGCAAATATTGTAAAATTATACCTGGACAGCGTCTGATCACACAACATAGGTTGATGGTATAGACACTTGTACAAAGCAATTGCGAAGAAATAATATGAACAAGAGACTAAAACTACATGGCAGTAACATAAAAGGAGAGACTTTGGTTCAATTTAGGGATACAAGATGAATGTAGATATTTGGCATAACATGTCATGTTATATCAAGAAGGTTAGCAAAGAAATCTTTGAAGAATCTAAGAATAGTAAATTGTCCAATAAAATCGTGTCGGCAGAAGAAAGAAGTTTAGAAAGTAACTAGAGCAAATGTTATAAAGATTGACAAAATGGAGGAAACGAGGTAAAATGAGAAAACATAGATTAGCAAAGGAAGAAAAAAGAGCAAAGAGAGGGCACAGAATAGACATAAGGTTGCCAAGATAAGAAAACGATAAAGAATAGGGGCTCAGGTCATGCTAGATGTAACAAGAATGAAGATCAACGAGTTTTGGTAATCTCTGATGAAATTAAACAAAGCTGGAGTGAAAAAAATAAAAAAACCCAAAATAGCTCCACCCAATAGAGTTATCCCTCTGCCATCTAATAGTAGATCATACAATTAAGTTCTCTTAAAATGAACATAGTAACTATAGAAAACAAAAATCTACCATTAAATCCACCAATCAGATACTTCAGAAACTTACTTTCGCGGTCTTTGCTATAAGCTTTTTCTCCCTCTCAGTCACGAACCAGGTTCTTTTGGGGCGTGAATATATTTCATCTTTATGCTTGATCATGTTCTCTGCCTAAGATGTTCAAAAACAACAAGCAACAGTGCAACATAAGACCTGTGTCAATAAAAATTATTCCAAGAAACTCCAAGAACATTGATCAAGGAAGCATATTGAACCTTTGCTGCTTCCATTTCAGCTTTCCTTAATATTCTTTCCTCCCTGCAATAATGTATGTTATCGAGCAGTATTCACAGAGAAGAAAGAGACTTTGGATTTTTCTCCAGAAAAGAAAATAATCAAGTAGAAAAGTAGAGAAAAACCCTTCTTCACGAAGCACTGCAGAGATTTGATCTTCCATTTGTTCAATTAATCTACTCCACTCAGCTATAGGTTGTTCTGCAACAATTCGACTTTTCAACTGTGAACCAGCTCTTTTTGCCTATTGTATGAAATAGAAACATACACAATGATCACACATACTGAGAAAAATATATGTACAATGAACCATAATAATTATATCAAAGATATACGGGCATTAATTATTACACAGAAAGTAGGCTTCATTAGGATATAGTTTCTGTGCAATTTGTTGATTTTCTAAGGTGTAAATTGCACAAAAATTGAACACCTTCGAAAATTCCAACATGATTCTCTACTTAAAAATAGAGAATGAGGAAATGATAATAGAACAAAGAACAAGAACGTGACCTCTCATAGATGTTACACGGGTATGGGTGAGGATATGGTTGATGACAAGGGACACGACAAATATGTAAATTTTAGGATATTGGTAGACAACTATGTATATACAAATTGAACTTAGTAGCTTACATGAGATCAATTTAGTTTTTTTATTTACATGTTATGAAAACTAAAATTTCTATAATGTTTTTATGTTTCATTTGTTAAGTAGGTTATACATTGAGAAACCACTTGTTTTTAACTAGATACCAAAATGATCCTTTAAAATCATACTTCTGAATTGGGTATGTGTTGAAATGAACCCGACCCATCTCAAGCAAGTTCCAGGAAGCGGATGAAGTGTATAGATATATGTCTACGAAGTGTATGATAAGTGTTTTAAACTAAATTATGCATTATATAATTGAGTACACATCTTAATAGATATAGGCCTTCAAGGAGTGTCCAAGAAGTGTTAAGAGTCAGACACGCGCGAAGCATGGATACGGGAGCCCACCCACACAAATTCGGGGTGACCAAGCCTCTATTACTCTTCCAATGTATTTCTCTAACTTGAAAATTTAAGTTAGTTGAATTTGAAATGAAAAGAAAAGTATGTAGTACTTATCATCTTTTCGAGACACATCTTCCCTTGTTTGCTTTTGTTAATTTCCAGTTATGCCTTTCTCCCCTCCGTTTACAGCTATATATTTTATCGTAACTTCTCTTTTCAATTTTTACTTCTCTTTAAAACTTTTGATTTTACCTTTCTTGTTTATATGACTCTCAGAAAGCATTTATACTAATATGATTTTTTCTATTCACCTTTCTAAAGGTTCCGTATTTCATCGTAACTTTCTTATTTATCGACGCCTACAAAAGCATCAGAACTATCATAATTTCCTTGTTAATAACCATCTTTTACATAAATCAAACCATATCTCAATATTTGCTCCTTGTTAATCACCATCCTTTTACTTCTCTCAAAAATTTACCCTCTATCCCATAGATAAGAAATGTTTAATTAAAATAAATTATTTTAATTTCTTTATCACTATAACATAATGAAATAGGCTCGATTTCTTCATATAAAATCCACGTACTACTCTGTCTATATATCTTATGTAGCTTTGGTTCAGACGTGGTCCATGAATGCAAAAAAATATATCACTTGCCAAAATCAACAGAGAATACTCAACCTCACACAGAAAAGAAAATGTAGTTCAGAGAATATGTAAAACTTTTACTTGATAAATGGTTGATAACGACCTTCGTAGAATTTTATGGTAAAAAACACTAGCACGAGACAAATTAACTTAAATTCACCATCATTTTCTCAGATATTTATCCAAATTGCATTGCATAATGCATAAAAAGTTCAAAACAGCTTACAGAAATTGTTGATCAATGAAAGAATACTTACAATGGCCTTTAAGAGAGAGCGATCATTATCAGTAACAAAAGTAACAGCATATCCTTCTCTTCCAGCTCTAGCGGTACGACCAACACGATGAACATAGCTGCATTGAGGTAAAAAATAATAATTGAATTAAAATACAGAAACAAATTATGCGAGTGTTAAGTATAAGTAGCGAATCGAAAATAGGGAACCTTGTAATATAAAGAGATATAAAAAGAACATTACAGAGTGGATGCCTTATAGAGAGCTAAAGGTAACTTCTACATGCAAATTAATATGGTAAACCAGGAAAAAGGTATATGGAAACTGCAATAATGCCTCCTACCTGAAAACAAACAAAAAAATTAACAGATACACCAAGTAGAAAGGCCTTGTCTTCTGTATTTAACCTGACATGTCGAATAAAAATTGGAAAAGGACCTTGACCACTGCTTTGCTTAGGGCCTTATAATCTCAAGCACAAACTAATGAGGGTATTGCTCGGTTCTTGACAGCCATCACAGAACTTTGTTAGCCAAAAGAAGACTAAACAAATTGTTCAGAACAGGATGATGCTCGCAAACAACTGTGCGGTGGATGCCACCTAGACCTAGGTTACCAAATTAGGTGTAATAATGAACAGTAATAGAGTGGATTAGAGCATTATACAGTAATGACTCCAGCATCAAAACTCCAAAATTTGTGGTGCCATATAGCCACTAGTTCATGTGCTTTGGTCAAGGGAGACGGAGAAGCTAGTCGAAGCGAACAGGCTTAGCTTAGCTGGGTGGATTACAGAAACATAGAAGCAAGGGTCAGAACTAGCTGATTCAATTATGAACTGAGAAGTTAATATAGCTTATTTACAATTAAGAAATGAGTAGATGAGAAAGATAAGAGTACAAACACACATGATATAAATCCTGCTAAACAAAAAGAACAAATAAAGAAATAGGGTAAGAGTGCATGTAGATAAAATCTTAATTGACAATGCTTGGGCATAAAAATTAATAGAAGATGGAAGATACATTAGATTATAAGTTTTATCAGGAGAAGAGGCCGAGTGACACAAATATTGGAAGAGATTCATCATAAATACAGTAGGATTTACCCTAGGATTTATTTTGATCTATGTTGCATTGGTACGGGTACCGGACCGGTACAGGTATGGGACGTGGCAAATTTGTAAAAGGTAGGGCACGAGGACACAGCTATATATAACACACACACACACAAATATTATATATTGGAATTAATAATTTATATGAGAAACAAGGATGAGAATTAAAATTCCTACAACAAATTCTTACAACATTTTTATGTTTCTTTTATTATGGGACTTTAAATTGGAAATCACTAGTTTTTGAAGTAAACATCAAAACAACCCTTCAAAATCATAATTTGAAACCTGACCTATGTCCAATGAGTTTCAAGAAGTGGATGTGTAGGATATATGTCTAAAAAAGGTATGACAAGTGTTTTAAACAAAAATATGCATTGTATAATTAAGTTCATGCCTAATAAATATATGCATATATGCAAAAAGTGTCCACGAAGTTTGGGTACAGGTACGTGTCGGGTACGGGTACAGCTTTTGGGTACGGGTACATGTCGGGTACGGGCACAACTTTAGATTAGAATTACCCAGGTGACATAGATTTTGACTGTCTGTCAGCCAGAACAGGTAGACTCAAAAAAAAAAATTTTGAGCAAACAAAAATGTTAGTCGGTCAAATATTTACATGTTTGGTTTGACACTATTTTCGAATTGTTATAGAAATATTAAGATAACAAAAAAATTTAATACAATAATGTAGACACTTGGATTCTTTATCTTGCACTGTTTTTGTAACTGCCTCTTATTATAAAAGTCTTTCTGCTGAAAGTAGGCAATGTAGCCTAATAAGCAATCAAACCCAGTTTCAGCTTCAAGGACTTGGACTATGGTTCACTTCATGAACTTTCTGGTAGACAGTTATCAAAACATGAAAGCAAAACAAATGAGACTGTTCCAAGTAATAATGTATTCTTAGCACCATGTAGAACATTGTGTGAGTACTTGCAGTCATCAAATCAGTGTATTATAAACAACACACATGTTATTTCCCTCTGTTTATCAGTGCACAACGGGATAAAAACTTCTCTCAAGCATAAAAAGTACACTGATCACAATAAAAAATCACTCAAGGTATCAGCTAGAACATCCTTCATGGTGGTATTCATATGAATCCACTGACAGTGTAACAGTTAGGGTCTTCTTTTTATTTGAAAAAAGAGAGAGTTAGAATGTCGTTTAATACATAGCAAGCAGGAATACATACGACAATCAATTACCTAGGTCAGCACATGTCAAACAAAAAGATTTAAAAAAAAAAATAAAAACCACAAGTTTAGTCAGTTCTATAAAATATAATTGGCCTAAAGGCTAACCATAATTCTAGAGAAACAACTAGGGAATATTTTTTACATGGGTAACATGTCATATTGCAGAGAAGAAAAAGAAAATGAGAAGGCACCACTAACCTTGTAATATCCCGAGGGCATGCAAAATTTATAACTGTTTGAACACCAATTATATCAAGTCCCTGGGAAAAAAAAGTGTTAGAATTCAAATTGGCTATAGTCCGAGAATGGAAAAGAAAAGGAACTTCATATCTCCCAAAATCAAAACAGATGCCAAACAAGTGAACAGCAATAATGCATCACAATTAAGCAAAACATCAAAGACAACCAAGTCCGTACATAAAGGGACATAAGTAATATCGTTTAGATGAAAGCAAAAAAATGCAGTCCAATTGGAATCTCTCCAAGGAAGAATGTGAACTTACACGAGCAGCAACATCAGTTGCAATAAGAAAATCTACCTCCTGCTTTCTGAAAAGTTCCAAAGCCTGCAAAATGTGACCAACTAAAGAAATTAAAACATGTTACTGAGAAGCCATATAAAACTCCATGAGTCCAGAAAGTGAAAGAATTATTTTTCACTGCCATGTGACAGAATAACAAGGAGACACATGAGTCCACGTGTGCACATGCACACGGGTGCATGCACACAGGGATATGGCAGTTCTATAAGAGGACTTTCTGGTCCTCCATAGTTACCTAAAAAGGTGGAAAGGTTGCGATAATTATTTTGTGAACAAAAGCAGAAAATATAAACAAGGACTTCTTTGAGAAGTTCAGAAAAATCCATAATCAGCAACTTTAACACCACATCAATTTCTGGTCATAAAATAAAAAACAAAAACTGTCTCCTATTTCATTAAAAACTTCCTTAGCTTTAAGTTTCCAAACAACTTTTCAGCAGTCCAATATAAACTCAAGTACATATCGCAATAAGAAAGTTACTCACATCAAGACGCTGAACTTGGGTGAGATTACCATGAAGTTCAGCAGCTCGCATTCCAGCCAAACCAAATATTATCTTTAACCTATGTGCAGCCTGTTTTGTTCCACTGCAGAGAAAAACTAAAATCTAAGTATGATAACAAAAAAATGTATCATAGTTAGAATTAAAGAGAAGAAAATACACATGTCAAATGACAGGTGCATAACTTTAGGTTTAGTTTGGTGAAACAAATTACTACAGAATGAGGAGAAAAAACATAAAAGGATAATAGATATAATGATAAAAGATAATAGATATAATGATAACTATAGTACATGATTTTAGCCTCAATTCCTTATCAATTTTATTGTTCAATATTATGTAAAAGTAACATATAGCAATTTTATTGTTCAATATTATGTAAAAGTAACATCCTTGATCATCTACTAGGTGCTTGACACAGATTATAGAGTGCTAATTTAGTTTGGTAATAATGGAGAAAACTGCCCATCCCAAGTTCTAGAGAGAAATACCTGAAAACGATCACTTTTTTTGTGAAGGTCTTTGAACAAAGTGCAAGAAGAACAGCCTCCTGATTTACCTCCCGCATTCTTCGTATTCTAACTACCCTGAGTTATAATGGGAAGCAACAGAATCAGATACAATTAATAAATCTTGAAGACTTGTGCTATTGGTTAGAGTAAATTGGCCAACAAAATAATGGCATGAAGCAATTATTTGAAAGACAGATTCACCATTAAGGTCAAACTTTTCTCTCACACACACCAAAAATAGGGAAAAAAGAATTTGCCTGGATGAAAAGAAAAAGAATGGGAGAAAAGGGAAATTTTAAAATAAAAGGCTTACTCTTCAGTTAAGGTGGCTGGTCGTTTGGTAGAGGGATCAGCCTGAAGACGTACAGGTTTAGTAAGTGAAAGCTTAACAAGCTTATCAACTTCTTCCGTCATAGTGGCAGAGAATAGCATGGTTTGCCTCCTTTTTGGGCATAAGTGAATCTGCATCATAGGACATGAAAAACATATTTAATTAAGAAAAACAACAATGCCAGTCGAAAATGTATTCAGTATAAGGGAACCTATGCTACTAATATGGACATTGATATTGTGGATTTTGAGAAGGAAAAGCATTTTGAACATGTATGCTACAGTAGAACAATCATATCGCTTTTAACAAACATGGAAAAATGATGGTGAACATGTAAAGTTCAAAACCAAAGCATCTATTTCACTACAATCTTCACAAGGACTCAAGCTTGAAAGATTTAGAAGCTCCCAAACCATAAATGGCCCGCATAGTTTTCTTAGTAAACAAAATTAACCATCCTGTGAGCACTTAAGATGTAGACAAAAGGAAGAATAAAAACTTTTATGCTGTTTCTTTTTTCTAGATATTTAGTGTGTTGCTGACAACGATTAATAAAGTGGAATTCTGGTTTGTATGGTCCAGTATAAACTTTCTTGTGGCATTGCTTGGATTTAGAACCGGCATCAGCAAGCCTGCCTTTGGGCTGCCAATAATATTGTACTCTATGCAATTGCAGCATTTACTTTGATCCTCCTTTTAGTTATAATCGACCAGTACATGTGCAGATTCTAATATACATGTCAAGTCTTAAAACTAATGAATAGAATAAGTCACCGGATTGGGGAATTAAACAATAAAATCATGTAGTAAAAAGTCGCCCAGGCTATGACTCTTCATAGCCAGATTTCCATCACAGTTGTTCAAGTTCCTTTTGCATGCATGGTATTGAAAGATTAAAGGGGTTGCTCCTGAAAAGGATAAAGAATTTTTGAACGTTTTTCATTTAAAATGGGTTCATTTACACCATTCTTATTACCTTTCAAATTAACATGAAAAATAAACATTGTGTTGTTCCATCTCAGAACTTCAATTGTCTTTGGCTCTTTGGTTTTGTTTTGAATGCATTTCTCTGATGCATCTCACCTTAAACCTTCTTCTTCTGGATTTCTTTGTTCTGCTTCCTAATCCAGAATAACTTAAAAAGGCACCTTCTTAATTGCATGCACATAAACTGATTAGTCAAGGTAGAGCTTTGATGGGCACAAAACTCACTGTGTCATAGTAAAACTTCTAATGACATTTCTCTGTTGCATCTCGCCTTAAACTTTGGTTCTTCTAGATCCCCCCCCCCCCCCCCCCCCCCCCCCCACTTCCTCATCCAGCAAGAATTTAGGAAGGCAGCTTCTTAATTGCATGAACATAAGCTGATTAGTCAATGTGAGCTTTGATGGGAACAAAACTCATTATGTGTCAAAATAAAACTTCTAATGAACCCCAACATTGTAGGTCTCCCGTCTCCCCATCGGATAAGTCGGCTTTCACAGTTTGTGATAATTGTCAAAGCTCAATGCCCTTATTGTTTCCTTTGTGCAGAATTTCACACCGACTCACAGGTGATGATGAGCTGAACAACTGGACATAAAATTTGATCAACAAGTATATTCTACCTTGGGGCTTGTTTAGCAACTCCAGTTAATTGGTCTAGTGGAACATAACCAGTTTAAATCCTGGCCCTAGTTTGGCAAATAACTGGACCAGGTGTTAAACTGGTTTCTTTAGGCCAGCTTTTGACAATAAACCCGTTCAGAATAGTTCCCACCCCCCAAAAAAAACCCCACAACACCAAAACAAAAAACCTTCCCTTTCTAGATTTAAACTAGTTTATAACTAAATGACCCTTCTGCTCCATAATCAGCCTCATTTATGGAGAATGAATTAGAGGGAAATGATAAAGCACGTGTTGGTCAATCAGCCTTAGGGAAAATTTATTTACTTGGATATCAAAGAATTTATATATATTAAAGGAAAGACTCAGATGAACGTCATATAAAAAATATATCTATTGCTGGATCTATCATCTTTCCGCCATATGAATTTTCACATGCTTTAAACAGAGGATTCAAAATTTCAACAAAGTTTCAGTACTCGCTATTACTAATTGCATGATATAGCCAATAAAGCTGCAGAAGTTGAAGGATAACCACCGGACCCTCCTCTCTCAATATTCTTGCAACACCACATCCACCACCACCTTTACCTAGGCATGAAGAGCGGAACTATGTAGATGTAACAGCCATATAGTTCATAAATGGTTGGCAATAAAATGAATAGAGAACATTGGCGAAGGATATCGGTTCATGATCAAAGCATAGACGAACAGGCAAAGGAGCTGCAAGTTGCTTCCAATCTTTTTAGAGAACACAGCAAGAGTTGAATTATACCAGATTGATTTCACAGATTATGTTTAAATTTTTTAAATTAAGTTCATTTTAAATGCTTAATTGCTACTAGTACTAGTGATGGAACCTCCTTGCGTCCTGAAGTTTTCATCATCAGTCCACAAAACTCATGGATTAGCTCGTGCATTAAAAAATTCTGTATATAAACTGATGGTAGGCATCAATGCCAATATTGACAATGACAACATGAATCATTGAATAATTTCTCCTGGACTAGAAATAACATAGTGTCTTATTTTCAATTATTCACATCTACTATAAAGTATGCAAATGGGACATATTTCTTTACGATGTATTCTCAAGAGAGAGAGCAGATACAGAATTTCATCAATGCATACTCTCTCGAGTGGATGAAAGGAACTTCAGTAGGAAAAGCAGGTGTCCTGCAGAGGTACTCAATGGTTAGCACTATGTGCATTTAATACCCAAAAGCAATGATATCAAGTTCAACCCAAAAAGGAAAGGCATTTGATCGAATTTGTATTGCCTGGATAATTTTCGAAAATCTGGTAGAAATAAATTACTCCATGCAAGTCCATTGTGATGTACCATAATCTCATAGAAGAAAAGCAAAAACTAAAGCAAACACCTTCTTATCATTATGTAATTTCTCTACATCCCAGCATCCATATGTTCATAGCTAATCCCGTTTCTGATCACTAGCAAGAACAAAGTTATTAGTAGTGCGAGAGGATTGTCTAGGGAATAAACAGGCATGTGCATCAGCTATTTCTAATGATTTGAAGACCTTTAGATAGACAGAAAAACCAAATATGAAATGAAAGCTGTGTTACTTGCCTGAAGTTAAATGAATAATAATAATAAATAACTGCATGAGAGTAATAATAATAATAATAATAAATAAATAAATAAAACGATGCCTGGGGTTAAATGAATCAGGAATGGAGGCATTTGTTTCCCGATATCAACTATCCTCTGCCAGCACGCACTAAAAAACTGCATGTGATTTGATGTAATAAAAGAAGTCCAGCTAGGGAAGGTAGTTGCAAAGTTACCAGTTCCTGAATTTCCCCGCTGAAACCAAATTCCAGAAGACGATCTGCCTCATCAAGGATTAGAACAGCAAGATCTTCAAGACCAACTGACACTGAATTCCTTAAATGATCGATTATTCTCCCTGGGGTAGCCACAACAATATCAGGCATAGACCTTAAGGCTGCCTCTTGAACCTGAAACACAGATAGATGTAATTGTAGGATTATGGAACACAGCATACAAATTTGAGAAATACATAATATTAAGAGATGGTCAAGTACACAAATTATACAACCAAAGGTATATATGTCTGGAAAGCAATGACTTAAATATGAATAACCTTTGCATAGCCAAAATTGTAGCACAACACTTTCTAATATAATAACTCGGCCTTTTTCAAATTATTATTAGGTTCACAAAGACTATTGCTTCGAGCTTTCCAAATATGATGTAAAAGAATACATACAAAAGTACCGTACATGTATATTTTTAGCAAGTTTTTCAAATATAATACAAATGAACATATACAAACATATTGGTCACGAACATTCTTTTTTAACTTATTAGATCCATAAAGAATATTGCTTTTGAGCTTTTCAAAGATAAATCAAAGGATTTTTTTGGCTAAAGGTCCCAATGGATTTTTTTAACACCATTTATCAAACTTAACATAATGAAACAATATGGCATCTGTGTGCAACCAAAGACAAGTTGGGGATATATGTGGAAATGATAAATTGTAAGGTATTTAAGTGCAATTTAGCCTTTTTTTTTTCTCTTTTCAACGTTGCTTGAGAAGCCACTTTCACAGAATCATAGCTTCTTAATCAGTATTACAAAAAGGAAAGACTCGACATGAGAGGAAAGTTGCATTAAATTTCCTTATTAATGATCACCATAAGGCACATATTTAGATTACTCTTAGTTTTAAATCATCACTTGTGTCCAAAATCTTAGGCGAAAATTGGTGGCTGTGGTTGTGCCTCACTTCAGTAAGGCGCATGCTCTGTGACCTTGTCTTTGTCTCGCACATCAAGCACATTAAATCCTTTGCACATTGCTTGAGCCTTGCACCTTGGCAATGTTGGTCTATGCTATTATCAATATACTTTTGAGGAGTTGAAATATTTATGTGTTCACTTACAGACACTCCAATATCATAAGTAGTTAGATTCGGTGGTTGTGGGTGCCACAAGAGCTAACATGAATAATTTTCTTTTAACATTATAAAATTATTGCACTTCCTCTAAAGTTCCACTTCCACATATGGCAATGCAGCTACATAGATCTTCCTGTCAGTGTCTGAGTGAACAATACAATGATACACATGATACTTTTTAATTCTTTAAAAGAACGACTTTACCAGAATAGCAAGAGAAGAAACTATATTGGTCCTTGAAGCTGCTAAACAGTAAGGTCATCCATCGTAGCCAAGCAAGAGGACAGAGAGGGGAACCAACAACAGAAGTAACGAGATATATCTCAAACCCAAAGTATAGGCACAAACCAGGTTTAGCTGGTTGGTTATTCTGTGTACGCACACATGTGGTGGTATATGTTGGGGATGGGGTTTGTTTGGGTAGCTGCCAATCCTAGCACATGGCTACACCCTTGATCATGTCGTCGTGTCCAAGCATCTACAAATAAAAAAATGGCATGACACACATCTATACTATGCAGTGTTTGTGTATGATTTTTGTGTTCATGATTCCAGAGGCAATTGGAATATTGGATAAGGCAGCTTAAGTAATAGAAAGAAGCACATGTGGACCAGCAACTAAGAGTTTTTTGGAGAAAAAAAAATTGAAGCTGTAATATACACCAATGCCTACTAATAAGTAAGAACCTTAAGGATTAACATTTAAAAGATCAGAAAACTCAAATTTCTTGATGTACACATAAGTGAGGACAAACTGTCAACCAAACATACCATAAACCTAAATGCTATGTAATAAATAGTCGTGGTGATAAATAAGGATAAGCCTAACCTTTGTTGAAAGTCCACCAACAACTAGGCAACATCTGATATCAGTAAATTGAGCAAGTTTCTCTGTCATGCTATGAACTCTGCATTGCACCAAAAGATGAGCATTAATATCATATCACTGTAATGAGAAGAATATAGTTCCTGCTTGTGACCAAAATAAGCATTAAATGCTCAATAAAACAAGAACACAAGTTGATGCAAATAACAAAGAATGATGCCAGAAATGGAGAAGATATAAATCAAGATAAGGTTCTGCAGACTGGAGACAAAAAACCTTGGAAAATATAACTATCTGTCCACCTTTAGGCAACAGATATCTTTTTCATTCATGAGCAGTACAGGATATTTGGACCCTTTAGAAATGTTTCTATAATCCAAATAGGTCATCATCATATTACCCTCTATTTTGCCTTCCCCGGTCAGAATGGGGTTTGACTGTGAGTGTGAGCACAACTAGCTGAGAAGCTCCATAGAGAATTAACTGCTATGAAAGCTGTCGCTGCCAAACTCCCAAAAAAGGCAACTTTAAAACCAAAAGACTAGCCACTATATAAGGGAAGTTTGTGGTGTGAAGATACTACATCTGATCGCATTATGTAAGCTCATCCAACTCATGGGCCTCCTAAAGTCACCTCGACTAAGAAGTGAACAACAAGACCATAAAAAACACCTCAAAGTTTCAACACCAGAAGAAATGAGAGAGAAAAGTCTCATAATTTACGTAGAAAATGTTTTAGAGATGCAGAAAGTACCAAAGGAAGCTTACTGCAAACTAAAGTAATATTAAGAAGAAAATTTCAAAATATAGCTTATGAAAAAAAAACAAAAAAATATAAATCAATATTAATTCTCTATTTAACAATTTGCAGTAAGAACGCGAATGCCATGAAATAGGACCATCTGGATGCCAAGAAACGGCATAGCAGATGTTGCCACCGAAAAATGTTCAAATATTGGAGAATTGTATAGCTGTATTGGTGCATCATTAGTCATCCATGATACTATTATGAAGCCTCCATCTTGTGTTAAGATAAGAATCCCTGGTATGTTCCTGCGTCTGACAAAATAAATAATGCGAGAAACATACACGGGCAGATTCACAACACAAAACTGGTTGGCAACTGCAGTTATTAACCAAGCAAACTGTCGTTGTGGCAGTGAGTTCCCACAAGATGAATTTCTCCCCTATTATGCTTGGACAAAAATGTATTTTAACAACTAATTTTTTGACAAACTACCCAATGGAATCATGGCAAATCAGAGGATGGTACTTCAAGCAATGGCTGATGAACGCAAGGTCTACGACATGAGCAAAGTTTTGTGTAAACTAAAAAAAAGGGTTTTCTTTAAAAAAAATCAGCCATTTTTCTGAGGCAGCATATATTAAGTGCTCAATGGGAAGTACAAAGCTACAATGGAGATTCTACTCAAAATCCAGCTCCTGTGACTTAGGGAATGAGAAAGAAACAAGATGCCAAGAGCCATCAAATTTGCAGTGCATATAACTATGTGAGCCAGTGTGTGTGTGTATGTGCATGGGTGGTTGGATGTGGGTGTGCAAGTAGGAGTACGTGTCAGCAGGGAACATTATAGTAAATAAGACAGCAGTACCATGCAGTCTATGGATTTTAGATCTAAACCAATGGTTATGCTTCTACATATTATGTTAACACACATATATCTGCAAATTTTGAGACAGACACAGCAAACCATGATTGCGGATGCAAAATGCATGCCAAAGTCATGAATTTATACATGTAGAACAAGATAATTGACTACAACAACAACAAAAGACTTTATACTAAAGCAAAATAGTCGACCAATTAATGTAAAAAATACTATATTGATAGGCATGAGAAAGAAGAGAAGGCTAACCAACAAAATACAAGACAAAGCGATAAAAAAAAATGAAATGCATAACTTACTGCACAGCCAGCTCTCTAGTTGGAGCAAGGATAAGCACCCTTATAGCGGGGACACGCTTTGGACGAAAAAGCAAGCGCTCAAGTACAGGTAAGGCAAAGGCAGCTGTCTGAAGCAAGCGAGGGAAAATGAATCTAGGTGTCTAAACAAACTTATTGATAGTAAGGAAGAAAATGTATTGCCAATTACCTTTCCTGAACCTGTTAAAGCACTACCACATATATCACGACCAGTTAATGCCAATGGTATGCATGCTGCCTACAATAAGCAGATTTTAATAAATAAACAAAAGAAGGTATATGATCATATAGAAATCAGAAGGAAAGAGAAAACAGAAAACAGACTAAGGTTAAAAAAAATTCTTTCAAATAATATTTGCTTCGGAAGCCATATCTTGAAAACAAGAAAATTTCACATTGATAGAGCATGTGAATTACAACCAAAAACAAAAACGACCCTATGCATACTGATACAACAACTCATAGGACATAGTTTCCTCAGTGAGCTAAGAAAGAACTAGAAATAACTTGATCCCTTTCATTTCTTTGAACAAGAAAAATTCTCAAGCAATGGCTAACTGCAGTAGCACCATTACGAACCAATAAAACACGTTGAAGGTATCAAAATGAGATGGTGATGGATCTATTCAATCAATTCCATTTTGCAATCCATGCTTGTCCACCGTATCAATTTTATTTGATCAGCATAAAGAAATTAACAAGCATCGGTTGAAGCAAATAAAAATAAGAATTACCTTCTTTTTCTATTATCATGCATGACCATAGATCTTAAATCGAGAGTATAAAATTTGAACAGTAGTCAAGAAAGCGGACTATGTAAACCTAACAGATAGGAGGAAAGAACTTATCATTTCTAGGCACACACGCAAAAGGTTACAGTAATAAGGATGTAGTATAAATGTAGGAGGCCAAAGTATTTAGTTTGATTCCCATCATTTGCAGAAGGAGAGAGGGAAATAGTGTACGATGTAGGGCACCACATGCCTGAGGGTTCAGGAAGGTGCATGAGTAGGAAAATAAATAATATAGACAAAGGTAAATAGGCAAGCTAAACATATAAAATCATCTTCCAAGGCACGAATACACAATTGCGAAAGAATTCCCACAATAGTGTATAAATTCTCAACTTTGCCATGCACACAACTTCAACACAGCACTCACATTATAATAGTAATAAAATATTTTACAATTTTAATTATGTTTAAGAAAACATTATTGCTCCCAAATTTCACCATACTTTTGCAGAAGGAAAGTTTTTCTGCTACATTGAGGTTTTATTTTATTATTTATTCATTTATTTATTTTGAGCAATCGACAAAAGAATGTTAGATTAGTATCTGGTAACGGAAAGATAGAAGGACAAAAAACCTGAATTGGCGTCGGTTTATGGTATCCCAAGGCTTCGCAAGCTCTAAGCAGAGCACGTGAAAGATTTAGTTCACGAAATGAATTTGCATAAAATGACGCGCCTTCAGATGATGCAAAAAAAGCACTGTCCCCTTTTCCAACAGTTTCACCATGGATATTTTCCAAATTGTGATTTTTCTGAAAATAAAATAAAATCTCATAATCATCCTGATCATAGAGACCTGAAGCTGCATGTTTTTACTTGCATAATAATAAAAGTTTCAACCATAAAAAAATGATACAGGAGATTAAGAAAAAAATAGAGGGGAAAAAGATACCAAATGAACAAATGGAAAAAAAGATAGAAAAAACATGAAGTTCAGGACCAGGTATCAATCAGGGATAGCATCTAGCAATCTAAAAATTTTAGTAAATGCAGTACTTGTATGAAATCCCCTTCAGGTTTGCCAGTTTATTATAAAACTCCCTAACATTATTATTATTTTTCCATTACAGAACACCCAGCTATTAGAAAAACTGTTAAAACCTATTTTTATTCCAACACTACCTCTCCTTCTTCCTCTTAACATACTTCCCTTTTCTCCAAGGCAAGGTACAAATTAGAAATTGAAAATTACACCAAAATAGAGACTAAAATAAAAGGGTTGAAGAGATTACATTGAACTTCTATCAATTTTCGCTTTGTTAATGGTACTAGTTAGTTACTTTGATTTCATGTGAAGAGAGGGGAGATAAGTTTTGCGATAATTTGAGGAAGAAGAGGAGCTTTATCGAGGGGTATTTTCTAGAGAAAAAGGTAGAAATTAAATAGGTTCTAACAGTTTTTTTAAACAGCTGGGCGTTTTGTAATGAATAAATAACGTCATGGGGACTTCATAAAAAAATTGTCAAACCTGAAGAGGGTTTCACAATAATTATCGTAGTAAATATTTCACATCGGACTCAAGAGCAACAAACTTAAGAGCAACAAACTTAAGAAATAAATGTATAGGTAGAACAGACCAAAGTTAGAGTTGCCTAAAAACTCAATATGAAGCATTTGAATTTTGATTATCTTCTAGTCCAAGAGTACATTACTTCAGAACCATAAACATATCAGCAACAACAAATCAGTATTTCAAGAAAGAAGATTGCAAGACAAACTTAAAATTACAAAACAATATCAAACACCGCAAGCTATGGCATGCAAGTATAAGGCTTATGATAATATATTGTCAACATGGCGTCACTTATCCTAAAAGATATATTTAAAATGAACTTGGGAGATATTTATTCTTGCTAACAATTAGCTCCAGAGAGTGGTTGACATGGAAGCTTAAAAAAGTTCACTTCCTGCATGAACATTGTTGGATGGACGCATTACAGTGTTCACGCATAAACATAGCTCCTTATAAACATCTTTGGCATTAGAAGGAATCTTCGAATAGAAACAAGAATTCACGAAATAAAACAGGAGGAATTAGCATCTCACCTGCTTTCTGGAATCTCCAGCAGTGGCACCGCCGACCTCATCATCGCCGGCTTCTTCATCCTCGTCCTCCTCCTCCCCCGCCTCCTCCTCAGCCTCGCTCACCTCCTCGGCCTCGCCGTCTTCGTTCGTCGGTCGAAGAGATAAAGACGATGACTGCGGGCTCTGGTTATCTTGTCGTCGACGGAAGTGGTGGTGTGTCGGCGGGCGTGCTCGTCGTCTACGGACTCCGAGTAGGCGGCGAACTCCCATGGCGATTGCGAGGCCTTCTTCACGATCTCCCACTCCTCGTCGGAGCTCCCTGCTTCGATTTGAAGTTTGGATCCATGAGAAGACAAAAGGAAGCAAGGATTGAAGGGACGAAACCCTCGGCGGGAGATTTGAGGGAAAAGGGAGAGGGGGTCGAGGGGGCGGAGGGGCTTTTACGAGGGTTTTGTTCGGTTTTGGGTTTAGGGCTTCAACACGAGTTGATTGATGACGGACCTTGGGTCTAAGCAATGGGCCGGGTTTTGGGCTCTTGGCTCCTTATTAACTTAAGGGCCCGTTTTGGGCTATCATAAGTCCAACAAGTAAGGCCTAAAATTATGAAGTAGAAGGTGGAAGAAGTTTTTTTTTTAAGTAGTAGAAGTGGTAATTTATTCCGTGCATCCATTTTTCTTATTTAGGACAACAAGTGAAAATATTGTTAGGAAATAACATGAAATCCGTATCTTAAATTATAGTATAGTATTAGTACTAGAATATTAAAATGCTAATATAATAATATTAAAGTTGCTGATATATCTAATAACTATTGTATATGATGAGTACTGAGAATGCAAAGAAGAATATCTATGCACGCATATCATGGATAATTTTAAAGCATTCACGAAACACAAAAATATCACACAAAAATACCACAATTAAAGACTTAGCTAAATTTTTTAATGCAAAAGGTATTGAGGTGCGTGTAGTGGATCTGATGATTTTCTTAGATCCCTAATTTCATGCTGATCTAATCTTCACGTGGACCCCACAAACAAATTTCCTACCTCTGGTCTAGAACTTTTCGGAGTGGGGAGAAAAAAGAAGTAAAGGTGTCATATTGGCCGCCACATCAACATGGAAGAAAGTAGCGAAAGTAGCACTTTTAGATAAAAACATATATATTTTTGTTTAGAAATAGTCTATACTTCCTCTACTTCTACTATTTTATGATTACTTCTGGGTAAACAAACAAGCCCTCGGATCCGAGTGGCTAGCATTTGATTTGTTTGGTTGTTGGATTTGTATTTTGGTTTTTTTAAGCCACCGCGAGTGTTCTTTATAGTTGGGGTGTCCCAATATGGCCCTCACGGTCTCTGATTCAATTTCGGATTGGTTTTTTATTTATTTTTTATTTTAAGTGTGTGATGAACATCTGTTACTAAATGTATACATTAAGGCAAAATCATTCTTCTCAAACTTTCTCAGAGATTGCGACGTCAGCCTCTCTCTTCTCGAATTTAACTGCTGCATGTGATAATCTCCTCCATCCATTTCCTTAATAATTTATTTAATCACCCAAAATAATCGACCGAAATTATCACTAAGAAATATAACTATGAAATCTATGAATAAAAATATTTCGTAACAATTTCCAAAATTCTGTAACATAACAATCTCAAAAAATCTTGATTAATTTCCTTTCTATTATTTGATTTTTTTTGGTTTTCGTAAATATTAGATAAAAATTGAGAAAATATTTTTGGATTGAATTTTTATCCCAATTTCGTTCTATAATAATATAATAATAGTAGTAATGATAATAATAGATACAATAGATAGGCTATTATGCCACCCAAAATAAGACAAATTTGAATTCTAACTAACGTGGGAAAGGACATATTCAGTAATATTACTTTTTTGGTAAGAATTTTTTTAGGTAGAGATGACTCTTATTTAACCTTTAGTTACTTTTTATATAGGAAATCTCAATACCCATAAGTTGGATTTCGGCAAGAATTTGATTGAAAATAAAGGTTTAGTTGCATGATTAACTATTTTCCTTTGATTTTTAAAATTTTTTGTTGTTCTTTTAGATTTAAGCTATGGTTATCTAAATGAACAGGCTCAACTTCTAGATTAAAGAGACAACGAATTTTACAAGTATTGTCTTTGTTTCCTTTTTAAATTATAATTGATACAGATTACAATAAAAATAATATAATAAAATAAAGGAAAAAATTATATTTCCTAAGGAGGGTTCTTTTCTGTGTGCGGACAGAACATCGATCTTGTACTTCATTGACGTACCAACTAAGGCGATGGATCTTTGTTGTTTATAAGAGGTGGGTTGCTTGGAAAATAACGTAGTCTTCTCTCAGCGGTTTCTCTCAATAAAAAGAATCGCAAGTGCAATTGTAATCTATTTTATGCGTGTATGTTCTTGGCTAAGGCTTCTGAACTTGTAAAATGGATGATCTCCTCTTCTTTTATAGGCTAAATGAGAGATTTAATGTCCTTTAATTGTGGATTAAGTGGTCATTAAAGTAGGAGATAATGGGGAGCGGTTATTTCTCTGAGAATAGCTCTCAAAATGGTTGTTTGGCGAACTTCATAGGGTTAGTGTGTGGAGAAGAACTTGGAAAAAGCAGATTTTTGGTCATAAGTCGACTCATGCACAGGCATAAGTCGACTTATGGTAAGTCGACTTATGTTTGTGTCGTAAGTCGACTTACGATCTGCTGTGGATTGTTGATTTTGGGCTCTGGCAAGTCGACTTATCAAACCTGTTAAGTCGACTTATGAACTCTTCTCCAGTTGTCGTTTTTCGCTCTGCCAAGTCGACTTATGCAGACTGATAAGTCGACTTACGACGGGTTTTTTGGAAAGTTTAGGTTCCTATTTGCAGTCTGTTTGGGTTTTTGTTTTGGTATAAATACCAATACGATTTGAGGGTTTTGCAGGAGCATATTTGGGGATTTTGGAGCACAGAAAAGAGAGATCTTTCTGAGCTATTGGTTAGGGTTATTGGTTGAGAGGTTGAGAGATTTGTTGGTGAGATTAGTTGGTTCGTTTGAGCGATTTGTAATCTCAATTTGTACTCTCCTTCTCTATTAGTAGAAACCCACCCCCTTCTTGCCCCGTGGACGTAGGCAATTGCCGAACCACGTTAAATTTGGTGTTTGGGTTTGTGCATTGATATTTGGTTGTTTTTGGTCTTCTTTGATCGGTGTTTGTTTTGGTTCCTCGGCGCCGCCGTCCGGCACAATTAGTGGTATCAGAGCATATCGCCGTCTGTCCCAACAAGTGGTATCAGAGCTCGGGCTACGCTTGGGCTATTTGGAGGAGTAGATCGCTTTGGAAGTTCATCTAGGGCTTCGTTTGGTGATAAAGGTGGGATCTTTTTTTGTAAAAATCTCGTCTTTTTCAGTTTGGATCTATTTCTCATTTGTTTTCGCATTGGTTTGGTGGTGTTTTGAGGATTATGGCCGAGAAAGAAGGAGTTGTGGGCAGTACTTCCGGCGTGAAGACCGTCCAAAGCTTGAATATCCACTCGATGAAGATTGACGTGGAAAAGTTCAATGGCACAAACAATTTTGGACTTTGGCGATGCGAAGTCATGGAAGCGCTCAACGCGTAAAATTTGGAAGATACGTTGGAGTTGGATGGGAAACCGGACAATATTGATGAGAAGGTTTGGAAAAAGATGAATCGAACGACGTGTGGTGTGATTAGGTCTTGTCTCACTCAAGATCTAAAGTATGATGTGATCAATGAGACTTCTGCAAAGAAGATTTGGGAGATCCTTGAGAGCATGTATTTGACCAAGAGTGTGGAGAATCGCTTGCATTTGAAGAGGAGGGTTTACCGCTTCCAGTTGAAGAAAGGAACCTCCATTGGTGATCACATGAACCACTACACGAAGCTTCTTGCGGATTTGGCGAATGTAGATGTGGTGATTGAAGATGAGGACAAGGCGTTGTTGTTGTTGAGTTCCTTGCCCGACGAGGAATATGAGACCTTCGTTCTTACTCTTATTAATGGGAAGGCATCTCTTTCGTATAGTGAGGTCACCGCTGCACTTGTGAATTATCAGCTTCGAAAGAAGGATAAGGAGACTTCGTTTGAGCCGGTAGCGGGGGCGTTGGTCAGTGTGCCTTTTGTAAAGAGGATGGACATTGAAAAGCCGAATGCCCAAAGTTAGTTGATCGAGCCGGGAAGAATAAGGGAAAAGCTATTCAAGCTTCAGAGGCGAATGTTGTCAAGGCTAGTGGCAACGATTCAGATTCGGATTCTTCGGGCTACTCATTATCTGCACTGCCGTCAGTTTATGTTGTCTACTCTACAGAGTGGATATTGGATTCGGGGGCTACATACCACATTTGCCCTAGGAGGGATTGGTTCTCCAGCTTTCAAGAGTTGGAAAGAGGGGATTTCGTGCTCATGGGGAATGATCACAAATGCTCTATTGGTGGTATTGGTACTGTTCGGATCAGGATGAGTGACGGGGTGATTCGGGAGTTGGTTGGAGTGAGGTTCGTTCCTCAGTTGAAGAAGAACATCATTTCACTTGGAGCTTTGGAGGCAGCAGGCTATAGGGTGATCTTGGCGGATGCACGCTTGAAGGTTACATTTGGGTCCATGATTGTAATGAAGGGCGTCAGAAGGAGCAATTTGTACTATTTGCTTGGGAGCACGGTGATTGATAGGGAGATGACGACTTCATCAGATTCGAATAGACTGTAGCATTGTTTGGTGCTGGGGTATATGATTGATAATGCCGTGCATTGGTTGTTGAGGAGTGCTATGACCTGCAGATTGAAGTCATGTGAGCATATTGGGATGAGCAAGACCGTGGTGGAGTTTGGCACTCCTATCCATCGAGCGAGGGGTCTTTTAGGAGGTGTTCAGTCAGGCATTTGGGGGCCTTCCAAGGAGGCATCATTGGGAGGTAATCGTATCTTAGTTTCCGCAATTGATGATTGTTCTAGGCATTATTGGGTCGCGACCAGTTCCCGTTGGTGCAAAGTTCTAGAAGTCAACAACAATTGGAAGAAGTGTATTGGCAGAAAGGTAACTCGTTGTTCTAGATTTGGTAGAGGTCCTTTCTTGCGTTTGTGCCGAGCTCACGGCAATATGAGACACTTCATTGGTGTGGAGACTTTGGGGCGACGAGATGAGATGACAGTTTCGATGGGTCGTTCCTTTCTGGAGGAGGATCGGCGTTGGTTGTCGAGCATTGGTTCTGGAACTTCGACATATTTGGGTCATCTTAGTCACAGGTCGCCGACTGCTGCATTAGGAGTTATTGGATCTGGTGAAGCTGCTTCAGATTTTGGGTTGCGTCGGATATTTGGATACCCAGCATTTGGTCACATCGAGGATGTGAGATTTGATCCGATTGCGCGTTTGGGGTTCGGAGGCTCAGTTGATTATCGTTTGTGAGCAGGAATATCACTTTTGACTCTCGGCAGGTGGAGAGTGTTGATCAGGTCGTTTGGATATCACAGCAGGTGGAGAGTGATGCTACTCCACGTTGGGTGAAGATTACTTCACGTACTCCAGATCATACTGTGTCATTTGGGATTCCAGCTGAGGTGACACAGGTTGGGGATCATTTGATTTTGGATACAGATGATGGATTGGCTTTGGATTCGGTTGCAGCTGGTGGACATGATTTGGATACGGCCATTGGTTCACCTCATATGGAGGTGTTTGATTTGTATCAGTTTGGGGCCGCTATCAGTTGCAGATCCGTCGGTGATATTGGGGAAGAGTTGCATACTTTTCTATTTGTTTGAGGGCTTTTGGAGGCTGTTTGGGTGAACTACGTGAAGGCTTGATTCCTTGGACAAGAGGATACGTAGGTAGTCTTTATGATGCAGCCGATTTGGTGAGCGACATCGACATTTGGGGTGAGTGTTCGCACTCCCATTTGGGTCTTAACATGTGAGGCATTTGTTTGGTTGGTGTCAGCTCAGTTTTGGGAAAACTTCACCGAGGTGGAGAATTATGGAGAAGAACTTGGAAAAAGCAGATTTTTGGTCATAAGTCGACTCATGCACAGGCATAAGTCGACTTATGGTAAGTCGACTTATGTTTGTGTCGTAAGTCGACTTACGATCTGCTGTGGATTGTTGATTTTGGGCTCTGGCAAGTCGACTTATCAGACCTGTTAAGTCGACTTATGAACTCTTCTCCAGTTGTCGTTTTTCGCTCTGCCAAGTCAACTTATGCAGACTGATAAGTCGACTTACGACGGGTTTTTTGGAAAGTTTATGTTCCTATTTGCAGTCTGTTTGGGTTTCTGTTTTGGTATAAATACCAATACGATTTGAGGGTTTTGCAGGAGCATATTTGGGGATTTTGGAGCACAGAAAAGAGAGATCTTTCTGAGCTATTGGTTAGGGTTATTGGTTGAGAGGTTGAGAGATTTGTTGGTGAGATTAGTTGGTGTTTGGGTTTGTGCATTGATATTTGGTTGTTTTTTGCCTTCTTTGATCGGCGTTTGTTTTGGTTCCTCGGCGCCGCCGTCCGGCACAACAAGTGGTATCAGAGCATATCGCTGTTGTTCGACACTACATAGTGAAGTTCGCTGATGACGTGGGCGAAAGTCGCTGCGGGTGCAGGTGCAGGCGAGGGTCGCTGCGGGCGCGCGCGAGGGTCGCTGTGGCTGTTGTGCGAGTCTTCTTCTGAAGTGGATGACTTGGTCCACTTGAGTTGATGTGGGCGGAGTTCATTGGTTGGCGAACTTCACCAATGAGTTCGAATTTGGCACAGAATTCGACTCTAGGCTCGGCCAATTAACGAGCTATTTGGCGAGGTTCGCTTCAGTTGTCAGGCAATCTTCGTTGTAGCTTGTTGTGGGCTTGATTTTAGACCTATTTGAAGTGTTTAGCCCATGGGTATACCAGGGTCGGCCCTAGCATAAGGCAACTAAGGCCTTTGCCTTGGGCCCTAAGTTGGATAAGGCCCACCCACCCATATATATAATATATGTAACTTAGTTACTTAAGCATAAACCTAACCCTATTTAAAAAGTGAAGATCCAAAGATAAAAAGTGAAGCTAATAGCTTAGCAACTTATGAGATTAAAAATTTTGAATTCTTAATAGCTATGAATATTTGGTATGACATATTGTTTGCTGTTAATTCAGTTAGTAAAATCTTACAATCTAAAGATATATTGAATATTTCTTATACATAGTTGATAAATCGCTTGGCTCAATTGAAAGTAGGTTTGAACAATTTAAAACGTATGAAAAAAAATTTGGTTTTTTGTTTGATTTGAAAAAATTAAAAGCTTTAGATTATATTGAATTGAAAGCATATTATCTTAATCTCGAAAATGCACTAAAACATGATGAACATTTAGATATTAATGGACTTGATTTGTTTTCAGAATTGAGAGTGCTTAGGGAAATTTTAAAAATAGAGATTAATAGTCCAATTGAAGTGTTGAACTATATAAAGTGGTTAGATTATTTTCTAAATACTTGTATTGCTTATCGTGTACTATTGACTATACTCGTAACAGTTGCTTCCGCTGAAAGAAGTTTTTCAAAATTAAAATTACTAAAATCTTATTTAAGATCGACCATGTTACAAGATATTGAAAATAATATGTAATTTTGCCGCTCAAAAGGTAAGAAGAATGAGATAAAATGTATTATGAGTTGTATCACTTAGACCTCATCCAATATTTCGCCTTGGGCCCCAAAATTCCTAGGTACGGCCCTGGGGTATACTTTTTAGATCCAAGCTGATTATTATTCTAAGTGAAAATACATTTTGACTGATCCAAAACAATGTTCATCTTCAAATGCAATTTTGATATTTATTGATACTTGTTCTTTACTCTTGCAGTATTTACTCATTGGTGCCTTGGGATTGCTGGTCATTACATCAAAGGAGGACAAACCGCAATCAACATGCTGCTACTGTATGGCTGTTCTGCCCTTTAAAATTGTTAGCAGTGTTTCAATAGAGTGATGGAAAAATGTAATGAATTGTTAGTTCTATAATCAATATCTACTTTTGATAATATGAATGTCAATGCAAAATTTGCTGTCTGGCTACCAATGCTGTGCATTTCTCTTCCTTCTTTGATAATCACATAGTTTTATGATTTACATTTATGTTCTTTCCTTCAACTTCCCTGGCCTTTTGGTTTATTTGCATGCACTCCAAGCTTTTTCTGGGTTTTCTGTAGATACGCAGTGACAGATGCAGAGATTTTCTTCAACAAAAAGGTATCAGCGTGCATTCACAAATGGAGTTAGGTGTTAAAAGAGAGTTGTGATTTCTGCACTAAACCTCACATGATTGTATATACTACATTCCCTGTCTGCAGATAACTTCGCTTGTAAGTCACCATCACTCGAGTGGTTTGGGATATCATAATAGCCCTCTCCCAACATATCCTGACTTGTATTCATGAAGTTGATATTAATCCTTCGATGGTAAAATACGTGGTTTCACTTTCAACACCACAATTTGTTGTATTTACACTTCTGCACAGTCATCTAAACTCTTTTCACTTTCGGCTCATCAG